TTCTGCCCTTCTCCCCCTCTCTCCCATCCTCCCCCTCCCTCCTCCGCCTGTCCCTCACTGTTCTCCCTCCGTCTCTTTTGTATCTGTCTATTGCCGTGTTTGTCCGTGTGTTTTCTTCTTGCGCATATATGCTACTGTCTTCCTCAGCAGAGTAGAACAGCCAGTCATTATAGCTGGATTTGTGGCAAGTTTCAGTCTTGACACAGCAGTAATGATGGGGCGTTCTATTTGGGTGAAGACGTAGGGGGTGAAGTCCGTAAAAAAAATTTGATTGGTGGACATGGACTTCCTATATATATATTGATGATATACATATAATATAATATATAGTCAAACAGAGCTCTGCCCGGTAAACCGTAGGCAGAGAGGGAGAAGAGGACAACGAACGAGGGGCTGTGACAAACTGTTTCGTTGAGTTTCACCGACTCATCAGGAGGCTGAACCCTATATTTAACGGTACGAGTCTGTGAAACTCCAATGAAACAGTTTGTCACAGCCCCTTGTTTGTGGTCCCCTTCTCCCTCTCTTCCTACGGGTTGCTGGGCATTTCTCCTTTGCACAGCGACAGACACTGTTACACTGGGCTGTAGCCGCCATCGTTTCTGTCACAATCACTACAATGACATGGTTTCTGCATCTATGTGTGTAGAGGACTATCCCTTCGCATCCGGACGCCATGTCCATTTTGCGGCCATGAGTGCTATACTGAATGCATGGTCTTCTGTGGTGAGCGTTCTTCCTTCATTTTGGCCTGCGATCAACATGCCATTTGTCGGGAGTGTATGGTGGGCATTGTTCAATGCCAGCCGTTGTGGCAATTTGTTGTGCTGCTCCGGTCGGTCGTCCATGCGCCCACCCACCTCATTCTTACAATGTGTGTCCTCTTTGTCATAAAGGACAGACTCATTCTTGAGCCTTTTTGCAACCTTACTTTCCCTTTTTCGCACTTCGTTTCTCTTCGCTTCATCTCTCTTCCCTGTGTTTATCACCTCCCCGTTTACTTTGCCTCTTTCTCACAGCATACAAGTGGGCCGTTATGGCACACGGGGAGGCGGGCAGCTCGCGCTAAACTCCATCAGCGTGGCGAGCCTTGTACGTGAGAGGCACGGTGAGGGGGGAGTTAAAGAAGAATGTTAAAAATGAATAGTTTCAGTGTGGCCCTCGTCTTTACCTTGTTTTCTGAGTGCGCTCTTCAAGTTCACAGTTATTTGACAATGTGTTTGACGATATGTATGTCATCAAACAGAGCTGCCGGGTAAACCGTAGGCAGAGAGGGAGAAGAGGACAACAAACAAGGGGCTGTGACAAACTGTTGCGTCGGATTTTCACCGACCCATCAGGAGGCTGAACCCACAACAGTCTGCGGAATCCCCTAACTGATTACACTGTAAGTGATAATGCACCTTAACCCCGGCTGTGGTTAAGCATCAACGACTGCCCGGCAACTGATACCCCTCTGAAGTGGTGGGGACCACCAACCACTGCCCTCAAGGTACCCATGAAGAAAATCAAAGCAGACTATCACTCACCCACACCAGGTGGAAAACTCTACAGACTATCGGTTCACACCCCATCACAAGCCAGCGAAACACCCACGAAACAAAGAAAGGTCTGTCGCAGCCATATATATATCGTCAAGCAGAGCTGGCCGGGTTACCGTAGGCAGAGAGGGAGAAGAGGACAAGAAGCAAGGGGCTGTGACAAACTGTGTCGTCGGAGTTTCGTCGATATATTCACTCCACACTCCGAGCTTTCCCTTACTTTCCCTTCATCCTTCTTTTGTTTGTCTCTCTACATCTCTCCTCCCTGTGTTTATTCCCTCCCCCTTCACTCTGCCTCTTTCTCACAGCGTACAAGTGGGCCGTTATGGTACACGGGGATGGGGGCAGCTCGCGCTCAACTTCATCAACGTGGTGAGCCTTGTATGTGAGAGGCACGGTGAAGGGGGAGTCAAAAGAAGAATGAGAAAGAAAGAAGAATGAGTAAAATGAATGGTTTCAGTGTGCCCTTCATGTTTATCTTGTTTTTTAATTTTTAATTTTTGCCTTTTGTTTTGCAAAGTGTGCTCTTTTAGTTCATAGTTATGTGACGATATATATAAACAGTTTGTCACAGCCCCTCGTTTGTTGTCCTCTTCTCTCTCTCTGCCTACGGTTTTACCGGGCAGTTCTGTTTGTGACGATGACGATATATATATTCAGCCTCCTGATGAGTCGGTGAAACTCCGACAAAACAGTTTGTCACAGCCCCTCGTTTGTTGTCCTCTTCTCCCTCTCTGCCTACGGTTTACCGGGCAGTTCTATTTGACGATATATATTTATATATATAAAATATTGATCGATCATAATCCTGGGGGTGAACAGAACTGGGCGTTCGGTTCACTGAATATTCTCTGCAAGTTCACTCGTTCACTGGAATAATCTTATGTTCCATTCATGATTTGCGTTTGGGGGGATTGCAAATAAGAGCAGAGCGATTCTTTGTGATAGATGTCTTTCCCCCCTCACCCCCCCCCCTCTTAATTTTTTGTCAAAAATTGGGATATTATAATCCTACTAATACTACTAAACAACTTTCAAAATTGGGATATTAATCCTACTAATACGACTACACAACTTTCCAACTCGTAAACACAGGGGAATACACTCTGGAGCAGGGTAGTCACGCCCACTGTTGGCGGCCTCGGACCCGTCGGCTGCCCAAAACAACCCTGCTCTGCATGTTTTTGAAACGCCTGCACTGTACGGTAGTGATTCTTCTCTGGTAGGTACACTTTACATTCGGTACGGTGCGGTACAGCACCGTCCTGTACGGTCAGGTACGGTGCTATATTTGTCACAACGGCGCTACTTCTGCTACAGTGCTACATTTATCGGGCCACATCTTGTTTTGTTTTGTTCTGTTTGGTGTTTTTTTTTTCCCTTTTGTCTCTTTTGTTCTCCCTCTCATCTATCTCCCTGTTTTTTCTTTCGCCCGTATGCCTGTTTTGCCAGAGTCTGGTAGGTGATAGGTGCTGCTTCGCTGAGAATGGCAGTCCTTTTGTTGACTGATCGGAATGAATACGGACCCGCACAGAAAGGGAGCTCTTTTTTAATTGACTGGTTGGAATTTTTCTCTTCTGTTTAAACCACCAGTACCTACGGGGTTCTAGGCCCCCTCTCTGATGCGAATGAATACAGACCCGCGCGGTGGGCCGATTCATCCTCCGTGGTAATGCCTAAAAACGCCGTAGGCACTGGTGGTCTAATCTGTTGCACTCATTCCTTGCCGTAGGATTAGTTAGATCTCCTTTTTCTGTTTTTTTTTTTTTTTTTCCTTTGCCGCCTATCTGAAGCTCATGTAGAAGCACCCACCACTGGATCTGTTATCTTAGCAGGAATTCTCTTAAAATTGGGAACTTATGTTTTTTTTAGATTTCCAATACCAATGTTTCCAGAAGCTACTCTGATAACGATATACAGAGAGACATTCCATCTTGCTCATGGCGATTGAATGGGTCACCGGAATCTGACCAATTTGGGGAAGGCCGCCTCCCATCCCATGACAGAGGCGGAGTGGTGGTTCTGTTTTGAATCTTTTTTTGATCTAACAGTGATAAGCCAGCCACGAGAAGATCCGCTAATTTTTTAGGGTGTCATGCGAGCGTAGGGCAGACAGGGTTTTGGTTTTAGCTTCAAACAGCCCGTCCTTTGTTTTTTGTTGCCGGACCCTGAGCTTGGGGGGCAGGAATGCCAACCAAACCTGGTTGGGGGGCTGGGGGACCGTTGTCAATTTCTTCGCCGATGGAAGGGCCTGTTTTCTGACCCTGGTTGGGACCTATCGGGTTCCAACTGGGGATTTGCTTTGGTCCCGCAGCAAGAGTGGTACTTTAATAATAGGCCATGTTAGGTTAGGTTAAGGTAGATCTAGGAGATTAATCGTGGTCACCAATGACCTGCTAGGGTGCGGCGAGGTTTGGGGTTTGACGTTTATCATCTTGTCTTGTAAGTCATATATGAGCCTTTTTTCTTTTAAGTTACGATTTTTTTTTATTTTTTTTTTTTTATTATTATTTTTTTTTGTTTGTTTGTTTGTTTTCCTGGAAGTTGGGAGTCAAGTCCTCGCTTCTTTTTTTTTTCCCCTGAAAGTTAGGTGTCAAGTCCTCACTTTTTTTTCTTACTTCTGAGAGGTCTGGAATATAGAACACAATCAATCAATCAATCAATCAATCAATCAATCAATCAATCAATCAATTAAACAACCAGCCAACCAACCAATCAACGAGAGAGGTCTGGAATATAGAACACAATCAATCAATCAATCAATCAATTAAACAACCAGCCAACCAACCTATCAACGAGGCCATCAAATGAGTCGACAAATCAATAAACCAATCAAATGCAAAGTCAAATTGGTTAATCAGTCGAGTGATTGGCCATCTTGTCAATTGTCGTGATTCAGCAATTTCGTTGCATGATCTTGTCAGCAAAAAAAAAGAAAACGTTCTCTGCGTGTTGCCTTCTTCCCAGCTTACCTCGGCATATCCTTTTGGAGAATGGAATGGTTTATTGGGCACCTACACATGTAGCTTAGTGTAACAGCCGTAGTAAACTGCCCAGTTATCACTGCATATCTGTCTAAGTTGAAGCTGGACGAATACCGTCTTCACCCGAATAGGATGCCCGGTTGTTATAGCTGCATTTGGGGCATCCTTCAGTCTATAGATACAGCGATAATTGCCAGCTGTTCTATTCGGGGCTAGTTTACTAGGCAAGGAAAGGTGCTATAGCCTATAGCAAATGGCACGCACCAAGTCCATGCATGGTGCATGTTTATTAAACTAACCATGCATGGTGCATGTTTATTAACTAACTGGCGAAGCGAACTTAACTAGCAAAGCTGGCGCTAAGTGACTAGCTAACCTAAAGATTGATCCGAAGTTTTTTTTTTTGTTTTTTTTGTTTTCCCTTTCCTGCTGTCAATCAAATGCTGTCAATCAAACGTTGTCTCCACAAGGGGACCTCGAGAGTCCCCCGCTGAAGAGCTAAGGAGGTCTCTCCATGACTCTTTTGGTATAATGGATGGGACTCGAATGGATGGGACTAACTGGGTGGTTCGAGAGATTCTGACTTTTTTTTTTCGTGCTTCTGAAATAGGGTTTGACTTTTTTTTTTTTTCAATCGCGTTAACAAAATGCGTGATTGGTATAATGATAATTTATAATACATTTAGTGTCCTTTACAGAGAAGCCGAACTAAGCTATAGGCTGGGCTTCGTAGGCAAGCTCGGATATAAGTAGTAGCTCAGCTACGTGACTGCAGTACAGCCAACTTACTAAACGATTATAGCAAAAGCTAACTGCGAGGTGTGGGGCCAGCAAAAGATGTGCGTGACAAATAATAATGTGCACGGAGCGGCATTGTCAATGATGTATCCGGGTGTGAGATAGCCACCAGCTACTGATGCTTTTGTTGGCCTTTATATAGCTATTTATGCAGTGGAGAAACTGGTTTCTGTGTCCTGGCATTCTCAATTACAGACGTAGGTCCATTCGGTACGCGCGGGCGCTTGCGCATGCAGGCAGGTGCAGAGAGCAGTTAGAGACGGTGGGCGGCATTCGGCGGAAGAAGAGAAGACGAGAAGAGGGGAAAGGAATGACAAAGAAACGTGGGGGGCAGGGGAGAAGCGGAGAGAGAAAAGAGTGGCGGCGAGAAGGGAAAAGGGGGGGGATAGTCGGGAAGAATCAATCGCACACCCGTAGGTTCAGGTCCATTTGAGTGCTGTGGTCACTTGCACGTGCAGGAAGGTGCAGAGTGGTGATAGAGACAGCGAGTCGCGTTCGACGGAAGCAGAGAACAAGAGCAGACAAGGAGAGACGCAACAAGAGATCAAAGGCCGGAGATAGAAGGGGACGGACGAGAGAGAGAGAAGAGAAGAGAGAGCCAAGGAGAGGGAGGGGGGGGGAATCAACTATCCATAATGGGTAAGCTACATCTGGTTCAGCTGGAGGGCAGGGTGTATAGCTGTAAGCAGTGCCGAAGTCACTTGGCTAACATGGACGAGCTGGTTTCGAAAGCTTTTCACTGCCGACAAGGGAAGGCGTACCTGTTCAATACGGTGGTGAATGTGTCCGTGGGACCGAGGGAGGAAAGGCTCATGACAACGGGCCTCCACACGGTGGCAGACATTCACTGCAACTTTTGCCAGAGAATCGTGGGATGGAAATATGAGGAGGCATTCGACAAGAGCCAGAAATACAAGGAGGGAAAGTATATACTGGAGCGGCAGAAAATGACGGACAGTGATGCAGGGACTGACTGTTACATGGATTCCCAGCCGGTGGGCAGCGATGGGGAGGATATGTAGCATCGGGCGCACTCGAGTTTCGAGTTTGTCTTGCCTTCGTCCTTCTTCCTTCCTTGTCTCCCTGTGTGTAGTCCCTTAGCTTTTTTTTTTTTCCGTTTCATCGTGAATTCGTCTAGGGCTCCTTATCTTCTGCGCCGCCTCTCTTTTTCCTACGCTCTGGATGTTCCTTTGCTCTTCCTCCCCTGCTAACCTGCATTCTTTGTCGTCTTTTGTTAGTTCGTCAGTCCTCTGGTTCACCTCGTCTCGTCCTCTTCTGTACATCCTTGCTCTCATCCACTTTCTATCCTCCGGCGTCTTCGTTTCGCCCTCTTCTCCATTGCATTTTCCTCCCCCATCACTTTGTCGGCCTCTGTCTGTCTTCGCCAACAATTCTTCTGCTTCTGTACATCCTTTTCTTCTGTACTTTTTTGTCCCTTTTCTGTTTTCTATTTTTTCTTACCCTTTTCTACTGTGGGTATCTGTCTGTCTGTCTTCACCGCCACTTCTCTCCCTTTTCTTGTTCTCTCCCACTCCGTCAGCGGTGTCTCATTTTCATCTTTTTCCTTGTCTTCTTGCCCTCTGCCTTCCTTCTCCCTCAACTTTTGTCTCCTTCTTTGGTCAATTCCTCCCCTTGTCTCTCCATTTCTCCTTCTTTTCTCTTTCTGCTTCTTCTTCTCTCCTCCTCCTCCTCCTCCTCCTCCTCCTCCTCCTGCCGCCAGCACTGCTGCTGCTACCACTATAGCCCTCCACTTATGTTTCTGCTGTTGCTTCTGCTTCTTCTGGGTCTAGTTGTGGGGAGAAAGAGAGTTCATGGGTGCACGGTAGCGCACGGTAGCGGGTGCCAACGCAGGTTGCCACCGTCAGTGAACGGTGTTTGAAAACCCCACCACACCATAGCTCCCTTTTGTGCTCCCGACTTTGGACTTCTCTTGACGTTCCCGACCATTGTTCTCTTATGTGCTCCCTTCTGATTTGGCCTCCTCTCACTGTCTTCCTTGTCTTCACGTACCGTTCGTGTTGCATTTGCTGAACGATTCCTAAGCTTGTATATTCGATTCAGGGGGGAGGGGATGGGAGGGGAGGGAGGGAAAGTTCTCTGTTGTCCCGGAGGAAGTCTGAAGTAGCTGTTCTGGGGCACTTTTGTGAATTCCGCTTCGCCACGTCTTCCACAACAAACAATTGATCGTTACCTTTTTTTTTTCTTTTTTTTTTTTTTTTTGCTGGGGCTTTTTTCAAAACCCTGAGCCCTAGGTCCCAATCACCTTTAACTGATAGCGCCACTGGACTTAGTGACTAATTGGACTGCTGTAGTCGCAAGCGGGTGCAAGTTTAAGCCTGCAGTGTGTCCCGTGGAAAAATTCTGTCGAAAAATTCCGCCTTCTGCTCGATTCGCGGCTTGCCCTCAATCTGAAGGTCTTGGAGATAGATTCACACCACCACACCAGCTTGTGCTCCCCTGGTCCACAGGAGCGCCCTGATTCCGCTGCTGCGATGCTGTACTTGTCTATAAGGCGCATGATGGACGGGTTCCGCCTGGTCAAGAGGAGCGCCCTGATTCTGTTGCTCTGATGCTGTACTTTTCTAAGAAGCATGAGGGATGGGTCTGGCTGTCTTTCCTTGCTGAAGCAAGTTCTACAATGAATGCCGTCTGTCTTGAGAATTGCGAGGGTCACATATGTTGCGGTTTTTGCAATGAACAAAGGATGTGTAAGGTTGGCAAAAGTACAGAAAATGGACAAGTACTGGCTCATCTTGTAGCTGGTGCTCCCACTCTGAATGGGGGGCGTTTGCTCTTCATTTCGGGATAGAAGTCGGAGGCAGCGCCACAGTTTGGGGATGGTGTGATGCCCCTGTACCCCCCGCCCCCAACCCCCCAACCCCACCCCACCCCTTGTCGGCTTGCAGGAGTTTGGGGAAGAGGTCGGTGGTGGCGATGGAGGTGGTCCTACTTCGGCAAACGTGGGTAATTTCTCTTGTGATGTAGCCGTGGCTGCGCCGGTTCAAAGGGCAGGGCTTTTTGAGGGGGTACTGATCTCCTAATGAAGGGCTTTTGAGGGGTATCAGAACACTTTGGATGCGATCCGATCCAATCAATCATACTCCCTGCGTGGGGCACTTCCAATGTGTGTGCCACCTAGCACTGTTGTGGCAACTGGTGGTCATGTGGCTGCTGGCTCGAAGATCGACTGTATGTGCTCGGTTTCCTTTGTAAGGAGGTGGTCGCCCACCAGGCGCATCTTGAAACCCTGCTCTCCGATTGCCGCCGATTCATCGAATCTTTGCATTGAGCTGCCAGGTGTTCCTGCGTCCATTGCATTGGAAAGGAACCCACGACAGAGCGATCGAGAAGGTCTCCAACTTTTTGACATCCAAAAAGGCACCGACATGCACATCACTACGGTGGGCTGGATGAAGGAAGACCATAGTTTTTTTGTTCGAGATAAAAAGAGTGATTACGAACATCGTAAACTTTTTGATGCCATTGGACGAGGCAGCACGACCAAGCAAGTGAGCCAGGAAGGCAGAGAGCTGACGAACCGATGTGGTGGTTGTCAATTGTGTTTGTTGGACACTGTCCATTCGCCATAGCCACAGGCGAGGTATTAGGAAAAAAGTGTCGGTTGAAGAAGAGGTTGGAGGGAGGATTGTCTTCCGGATGGAAGAGTACCACCAAGCAAGTCAGCCAAGAAGGAAGAGAGCTGAAGGATCGCTGTGGTCATGGCCGAGCGGTGTTTGTTGGACTCCGTCCATCCGCCATAGCCACAGTTGAGATATTAGAAAAGAAGCGCCTGTCGATCCGTGCTGAATAGGAGGTGTGACGGCGGCAGTTGAAGTTGTCTGGTGATGGATGGAAGAGTCGGGGCAAGTTTCACGGGCGACGTGCCCTTTGCAGTGTGTGGTTGCTTTTGGAAGCGCAGCACTGGAGCAGAAGCAGCGGAGATGGAGGGAAGGAAAGCTAAAGGGTCCCGACGAATCGGGTTTTGCACTGGGGGTGGGCTTAGGTGTGCATGGGTGGAGAAACAGGAAGGGAATGGAGGGGAGGGGTTTCTACATTCACTGTTCATATATGCGTAGATATATAACTGAATTTTATAAATACAGTTGTGTGACTATATATATATATATATACACACACACACGTATGGTGGAGGCTTTGCGTGTTCCATGTGATGCAGTTTACAGGAATCTTGCGAAATAGCGCATTTCGATGATGGGATCTCCTGAAGGACGTATTTGACAAACACGAGAAATAGTTGTGATTTTTAATTCTAAATTTTAAAACCATTTTTTTTTTTCTTCCGTTTGCATTCGTCTGTTTCAAACTAGTTTTATGCATCTAGGCCACCTTTTTAGGGACCTACCCTTTTTTTTTTTTTTTTTTTTTGGGGGGGGGGGGGGGGGGGGTTTACCCATTTGTAAAGCATGATCAGAAACACAATGTTCTTTTTTTTGCCCTGTTTAGGCCACATCATCCGAATCCTCCTTTTTTTTTATTTTATAAACCATCCAAATTCAAATTCAAATTCAAATGTCGAAAACGACGAAAGCATTGCATAATATGCATTTTTTTTATGCATTTTTTTAATTTCAGACATGGCATTCTTAAGAGGAGCAAAAGATTGCCGCTCTCCCAAGACAGAAAACTATATGAATATCTGAACAAAATCGGAACCATGTAGGGCTGTATGTCTATGTACTTGACTTTGATTTGTATGGTAAACATCTTTCGTCTATTCGCGTGCACCTCCTCCCTACGATTGTCCTTTTGTGTTGTGCTATTCTTCTGTTTCACTTGTTTCAAGTTATTTGCTTGTGTGCAGAGCGCTAATTTCTATGTTGTGCGCCGCCCATACGGCAGCGTCGTAGTCGTTAGTCGTGATGCCTGCGTGCATCCAAGGTTCTGAGGATTTACTGTAGATATTTTTTGGGGCCAATGTACTCAGTTTTTGTTTTTGTTTTTAATGTTTTCAAGACAAGAAGGGCAACGGCCTTGTTCGAACTGACTGCCCCGAGGTAATCTAGAACTGTAGAATTTTTACTCATCCGCTTCAAAGTGGAGCTCAAGCTCAGGTCTGTATTTCAACAGTTCAGGGGTGTACCAACTGAGCTAGGCCAGTTGGTACAGCGGTATGCACCTATACCATAATACTTGCGGCGCACTTCTGCGGTGCGCCGTGCGGTCCATGTGCTGTGCACAAATTGGTGATGCGCCCAATTTTTTTATTTTTTTTTCGAGGTATATGTGTAATATGTGGAGAGAGAGAGAGAGAGAGAGAGAGAGAGAGAGAGAGAGAGAGAGAGAGAGAGAGAGATCCCTTCACACGTATCAGAGGGGCCATGCAGGTTATTTGAAGGGTCCTCGCAGCACTTTAGCAAGGACCCTCCACCAAAATCGAGGCAGGCAGTGAATACGAAGTGGAGCACGAGCTGGCAGAATATATACTCAGGATTGGTATTCAGGTCTGTGTTTCAGCAGTTATGGGTTGCTCACTTAGCTAGGCCCTGTTGGTCTCTGCACGTGATTCTCAGGGCTTGGCTGCAGCACTCACTGAATGTGCAGAATTAGAATGAATCTTCTGCTTGAACGTGGAATAATACGCCACCATATGTTTTGTCTTTTGTGCATGTGGTGAGTAGAGGCCCTTAGGGCCACTGCACGTATTCCTAAGAAAAGAAAAACGGGGAAAAAGGAAAATGAGAAAACTTGGAAAACAAAAGAAAATGGAGAAAACAAAAGAAAAACGAGACAACAGAGAAACAGTGACCCATAACTGCGATGCACAGACCTGAATTCGAATCGAGACTATATATTCTCGGCCCACGCAGACAAAGGAGTCCTTGCTAATTCGTAGGGGCCCTTCGGAAATGAGACTGGACACAATTAGGAGCACACGCACACACGTGCTCACAGTGTTAGGGTATGTTGTGGCCCCAACTTTTTTACCTCTTGCAGTTCGATTTTCAGAAGCAAGGGGGATGTTTGGCCACCCCACCCTGTCCTTTCAATTTTATTATATATATATTTTTTGGTGATGCGCCGCATCACGTGCACGCGCGTCCATGCGCGTGCGCTCTGCGCCACATGCGCCGCGATCCCGCGCACGGGATGCGCTGCAAGTATGACCGATACATACAAGGGTTTCGCTTTTTCCTACATTACCCGCTCTCTGGGACATCAGCACCTGAGATGTCCGGGATCCCGGACAACAGTTTTTTGGCCAACTCGGGGCTGACAGGTGTAATAAAAAATTGGGGGGTTCCGCGCACCATGCCAGGCCCCCCTGGGGGAAAAATCACATCAATTTGACCCAAAAAAAAACAGGTTTTGGGGGGGGTTTGGAGAGGCCGCTGCTGCAGATGCAGCACCTGCCGCAGCAGGTACAGGAGCTGCTGCAGATGCAGCATCTGAGGAGGAGGAGGACGGGACCACGGTGATGGAGGAGGAGGGAGGAAGNGGGGGGGGGGGGGGGGGGGGGGGGGGGGGGGGGGGGGGGGGGGGGGGGGGGGGGGGGGGGGGGGGGGGCGGGATGGTAGTGTAGGGGGAATGGGATGGCAGCGGAAGGGGGCGAGATGCCATCCCCTCCGCTTCTTTTTATTTTTCCCATCAGTCAATCAATCAATCAATCAATCAATCAATCGATCAATCAAGATCCAAGGAGGAGGGAGGGGAGGAGGAGGATGAAGACGAGCCATAGGAAGAGGACGAGGAAAAGGGGGGGGAGGACGAACAAGTAACAGAGGAACAGTAGTAGTAGGAGGAGGTGGCAATGGAGATGAGGGGGATGCTGCGGCGATGGAGGAGGAGGGGGATGCTGCAGTGGAGGGGGAGGAGGAGGAGGAAGAAGAAGAGGCAGAGAAAAAGAGGAGGAGAAAAATGAAGAAGAAGAGGGAGGAGGAGGTGAAGGAATAAGAGGAAGGAGGATGACGACGAAGAAGTACAACAGCAGGAGGAGGGGAGGCGCGAGGAGGATGAAGACGAAGAGGAGGGGAAGGAGACTCACCTGGCGCGGGTGGGTGCTGGCAGGTGTCAGGTTGCGGCGTGCGGCGTTGGAGTTCGGCAACGGTAATGCCGAACTCTGTCGACGGGCCAGGGCCACGGCATGCTCGGAGAAGGGCGGTTCCCCTAGTTCGAATGTTGGGAGATATTACGGCCGAGTTTGGGTCACATTTTTTTCCGAATTTGGAGTCCTTGCCCCTCCAGAAAGGTTCCCCCCCCCCACTTCCTAAACTCCTGACACCCCACCGCCATGCCCCAAAAACGGTCGGACAGAGGGCCCCGTGCGGGCGGTTGAACTAGTTCGGTCGGACGGCCCGGATGGTCCGATCTGGTCCTTTCAGACCTGGACCTTTGATTGCAATTGACAGGCTTCAGTGGTCTGCACGACTCGCCTTTCAGACCTGGACCTTTGATTGCAATTGAACGGTTGCCGAGTTGTTGTGGACCCATATGTGTATGGGTGCGTATTGTTTACGAGTGCCCGGATTGAGCGAATAACAATAGAGGTCAGGCCCCACATGTTCATAAAAGGACGAACCTGGTCATTTATGCGACCAGGTTCGTGATTTCAAAGCACGAGCATATGTGAGGAATGTGTCCTCATGGGGCCCTAGACAGCATGCGTATGTTCTGGACTGTGGCCCCCAGCAAGCGTTGTGCCTGCCCTGAGTGAAGGTGGGCTCCAAGAGAGGCCCTTATCTCAGCATTTTCCAATGTGGGTATCAGACAGGTGCTGCACGCCAGTTGGTTGAAGTGCAACCTGGGCCTCACCCCGGGCTCTTCCAGAAGAAGCAGCTGCATCAGGCAGTTGAGCCCAGGACGCAGGCGGTTGCACCCTGGGCACACACAATGTGAGGCCAACACATCACGAAGTGGCCACGGGCCAGTGCAAACACAGCAAACATTGAGAGCCTGGATAATCCTGGGTGTGCCCAACTGAAAAGGGCACAGACCCTCAACTGTAGACATGGACCTGGGCGCAGACACTGGGGTCGACCAGAAGCTACTGGAACCTTCAACAGCCAGGCCCAAACAGACCAGCAGCAGCAGTGGCTCCCATATAGGGAGGAGGCCAGCCAGTGTGGGGCATTCTGCCCTAGGCAGGCAATGCGGACACATTGCTGCGATGGAGCATCAAGCGTCTGCATTGCGCTAATGCTGGCTGGGGCATGCGCGGGCGCTGAGAGGGGTGCTGCAGGGCAGTGGGGCGCCAACCGGCAATAGCCGGGCTGCAGGGGCGCGGGCAAGTGCAGGCGATAGTGGTCTTCAGGAAGGAGGCCCAGGTGTGGGTGGACAAGGGGTGATGAGGGAATGAGAGAGAACATACCTGGTGTATGTGGGAGTTCTGCATTGGTGTTGACATCATGTACATTGGTCTTCGTCGTCAAAGTGAGCCTGTTGCACGAATGTAGATAGGCTAGGTAGGATGAGTAGAGTAGGCTGTGCGCTGGGCGCTAGACAGTAGGGGGGACATTAAATACT